TATGCAGCAAACTCAATATTGGTCTGCACATTTCCTTGAAAGGAGAGATTTTATTTCATTAATTAACCTAGAGTCTGAAGACAAACAGAAACAAGTGGTTTATTCAAGTAGTGTTTGTATTTAGAGGACTAATGATGAAAACTCATATTTACTGTATATGGTGTGTATTTTTTATATTACAAAAAATGGGCATGCTGTCAAAGGTATTTACAAAAAGAATACTGTATTTTAAATGAAATGCTGGTAAATAAGAATGTGCAAAGCTTCTCCATGTGAGAGTTATGTTTGCTTTTGTGGTTTGGAGCAGGGCCAGTGGAGAAGTAATATCGTTTTCAAAAATAATCATGAGGCAGAGGCTTATTAACCATGAGCCTCCTCAAGGGGATGGCTCTAATCCAAAATGATACATAATGATATCTCGGCATAAAGACGGGTTACACTGTATCTTCCTTACCAAGACGTGTGCCAGTGCACTGTCTGCTAGTAACATTTTGAGGGCAATTCCGTTATACCTGGGGGCCTCTTTTTCTCTTTTACCGATTTCTGACTAAACACACTTAAAGGTCCAATGCAGCTGTTTTTCATCTCAATAGCAAATAATTTCTGGGTAACAATTCAGTAGCTTACTGTAGCTTTCGATTTAAAAAGCTAATTTTTCTTCCAGGTAGCCCTAAAAACACATTGCAAGAAAACTCAAGCAGAAAATTGTGCTCTCTCTTACCTGCAGAATCAAATTGCATAGTGAAACATGGCCTCTATACTTTGCAGTCTAAGATCTTCTTTCTCCTTCAACATCTTTGTGTATAGTTTGTTTAAACCTCGGATGGTTACTTAATGTCAAACTAAATGATTTGCTGAATTGGAAAGAAGATGAAGACACCTGTCTATTCAAGTATGACATCAGCAAGCCCAGTTGTGTTGTTTTTCTGGCCTGTCACTGGCATTACCCCTGCGTAAAGTAACAGAAGTCAGCAGCGATTTAGATGTGAAAATTATCTTTGCTTCTCTGGAATAGACCTGTGGAATATTCTATATTGGCATAGCCAGTACAGTAAACAGGTTGTATCTATCCTTGTTCGCTGTGTGGTGAAATGTTGTTCCGTCTGTGGTTGTTTACCATCCTAGGCCATAAATGTCTTCTTTCCTCTGTAACCCCATTCAGCTCTCAAAATGGACATCCTTATTTCAACCCTTAAACTAGTGAAAATATTGATGGATCAAGCATTATGGTTTCAAGTGTTGCAGTGTAGCCCTGTGTGTGGCTGGGGGCCTGGTATTTGCCATGTTAATATTATATCCCCTCCCTGAAAGGCCTGGCTATCTTATTTCCCAAATTATTTCTTGAAGTCATGCACAATATGGTGTTTAGCTACAGTGGGGAAAAAAAGTATTTAGTCAGCCACCAATTGTGTAAGTTCTCCCACTTAAAAAGATGAGAGAGGCCTGTAATTTTCATCATAGGTACACGTCAACTATGACAGACAGAATGAGAAAAAAAAAATCCAGAAAATCACATTGTAGGATTTTTAATGAATTTATTTGCAAATTATGGTGGAAAATAAGTATTTGGTCAATAACAAAAGTTTCTCAATACTTTGTTATATACCCTTTGTTTTCTGTAAGTCTTCACAAGGTTTTCACACACTGTTGCTGGTATTTTGGCCCATTCCTCCATGCAGATCTCCTCTAGAGCAGTGATGTTTTGGGGCTGTCGCTGGGCAACACGGACTTTCAACTCCCTCCAAAGATTTTCTATGGGGTTGAGATCTGGAGACTGGCTAGGCCACTCCAGGACCTTGAAATGCTTCTTACGAAGCCACTCCTTCGTTGCCCGGGCGGTGTGTTTGGGATCATTGTCATGCTGAAAGACCCAGCCACGTTTCATCTTCAATGCCCTTGCTGATGGAAGGAGGTTTTCACTCAAAATCTCACGATACATGGCCCCATTCATTCTTTCCTTTACACGGATCAGTCGTCCTGGTCCCTTTGCAGAAAAACAGCCCCAAAGCATGATGTTTCCACCCCCATGCTTCACAGTAGGTATGGTGTTCTTTGGATGCAACTCAGCATTCTTTGTCCTCCAAACACGACGAGTTGAGTTTTTACCAAAAAGTTATATTTTGGTTTCATCTGACCATATGACATTCTCCCAATCCTCTTCTGGATCATCCAAATGCACTCTAGCAAACTTCAGACGGGCCTGGACATGTACTGGCTTAAGCAGGGGGACACGTCTGGCACTGCAGGATTTGAGTCCCTGGCGGCGTAGTGTGTTACTGATGGTAGGCTTTGTTACTTTGGTCCCAGCTCTCTGCAGGTCATTCACTAGGTCCCCCCGTGTGGTTCTGGGATTTTTGCTCACCGTTCTTGTGATCATTTTGACCCCACGGGGTGAGATCTTGCGTGGAGCCCCAGATCGAGGGAGATTATCAGTGGTCTTGTATGTCTTCCATTTCCTAATAATTGCTCCCACAGTTGATTTCTTCAAACCAAGCTGCTTACCTATTGCAGATTCAGTCTTCCCAGCCTGGTGCAGGTCTACAATTTTGTTTCTGGTGTCCTTTGACAGCTCTTTGGTCTTGGCCATAGTGGAGTTTGGAGTGTGACTGTTTGAGGTTGTGGACAGGTGTCTTTTATACTGATAACAAGTTCAAACAGGTGCCATTAATACAGGTAACGAGTGGAGGACAGAGGAGCCTCTTAAAGAAGAAGTTACAGGTCTGTGAGAGCCAGAAATGTTGCTTGTTTGTAGGTGACCAAATACTTATTTTCCACCATAATTTGCAAATAAATTCATTAAAAATCCTACAATGTGATTTTCTGGAGAAAAAAATTCTCAATTTGTCTGTCATAGTTGACGTGTACCTATGATGAAAATTACAGGCCTCTCTCATCTTTTTAAGTGGGAGAACTTGCACAATTGGTGGCTGACTAAATACTTTTCCCCCCCACTGTATACAGACAACCAGAGTAGACATAGACTGTCTTAACAAAATAAAAAATAAGAGTCAAGTTGATTTACAAAGGTTCCTCTGAGAGTAGGCCTACATAGAGTATATATTAGTCCATGTAATTTACTGTTAAAACCAAATGTCTCTTTCGGGTCAACGTGGTGGCACATTGGAGCATGCGAGTGTCTCCTTTAATGGTGTTCGAATCCATATCTGTGTAAAACATATGCTGACACATGCAGTGTGACCTTGTACTGTGCTACATGCTTAGATTCTGACAGTGGCTAAGGGATTAAAGTTGTATCACTTCTTTTGTCACTGTGAGAGGATAGAATGTAAGCAGTGGTCACCAACCTTTTCGGAGTCAAGATCACTTTCGCAGTCAAAAAGCAAGCCAATATTTACTGCTCGGATAGAAAAAAAAACATGACTTAAAAAATGTATGCCTATGCTTACAAATTAGGTTTGTGCAGCAGGCCCAAGACATTATCACAGCATATTGTCTATATGCCTGGCCTGCCAATATTGTTCTTCTCAGCCCATATTATATTTCAAAGCCCAAGCTTTGATAACAAAATAGATCAGTTGGTGTATCACTTGCGAGGCACAGCTGAGCATAAATGTAATTTTAATTTTACTGGACTGATGGTACCTGCATCTGATGGTCAGTCAGCGGAAGGAGGGAGAGAGCAGCAGAGGGTGAGACTGACCAGAGAGAGGGGACACTGTCTTCCACCTGATGGTGAAACTCGAGTCGCACCGCATTATTTCTGCCTCATGCACACATGTTGTTCCTATGACCAGAGAAAGTGAAATATTCCTCGATATTAAAAGACACGACGAGCTGCTAATAATAATAACGCAGGCCTATCGATACACTTGGCTACTCATTCATTGCAGCTGAAGCGCGAGTGGAAGTAGGGAGAAGTGTGTTTTGTTTTGTAAAAGTGTTAAATAAAAACAGGGTTGACAGTGCTGATTTAAAAACCCCGGCCGGGATGTCCTTGTCCCATCACGCTGTATTGACTCCTTGTGGCGGGCCGGGTGCATGCACGCTGACGCCAGCTGTACGATGTTTCCTCTGACACATTGGTGCAGCTGGCTTCCGAGTTACGCGAGCAGTGTGTCAAGAAGCAGTGTGGCTTGGCATGGTCGTGTTTCAGAGGACGCATGGCTCTCGACCTTCACCTCTCCCGAGTCCGTACGGGAGTTGCAGCGATGGGACAAGTCTGTAACTACCAATTGGGGAGAAAAAAGAACAACAACAAAAAAAAAAATATATATATATATTTTTTTTTTTTTTTTTTTTTTTTATGTAGTTTTGTGAGTTAGGTGCCACTCATTTAAGTTTACAAGATTTGCAACTGTGAGTTTGCATGAACAGTTCGAAGCTGGGAAGCAAGCATATAAATGTTTTTGTCACGAATGCCAAAGATGCCACAAAGTCAATAGAACAATATTTGTTGGTGATGCGTACAGATCCCAGCGCGCAGCGTCCAGCCAAAGGTACCTATTAGGAGGGGGAAAGTTTCCTAGAATGGAAAACCCCACCTGGATATTATGGCTCTCTCTCTCCAGCACTTGAAAGCTGAGCAAATGTTGTGAGGTGTAAGAGGAAAACGTTTGGTATAAAATGTATTTTCCCCTTTTCTGTGTCAAATCTGATCAGTGCTTAATGGTACACAAACCACAGCGTGGCTAAAACCCCAGGAGTCCCAGCTGGGTCTATAAACAAAGAGCCAAACTGATACTGTTTAGACAAGAAACAGAAACCGCAAGGTCTTTTATAACCCTTTGCTTTCATGGGCAGTTAAGACAGAAATAAAAATATGTAACCGACTTTACGTTCACACAACTCATCGTGACTTACAGTTGGCCAAATGCCTCTAATTTGGTTAATCTCAAATGTACTGTAGAAGAAAACACCTTTTGTTTGAGGAAACTGTTAGACAGACAATGAGAGTGACAAGGTTTTGATGATCGGGTTGCATTGCATCCATGGACATATTACACACACTACAGTCTACCGCCTACTGCTGTTGGCTAGGCTAGTTGTTTATATACAGTGCAACTGTGTTTGTTGAGAAACTCATAAAAGTGAATAATATCATCCATTTGATGTATTCACGATGCTGTGAACCTCACATAAAATGCTTATTGATATGGGAAATGAAATGTGGTTTGACAACAATGCATTGCTGCTCCGCTATCTGATGTTTGTTACAATTCAAGTTTCACGTTGTTACTGATGCTTCACTTTTCCATTGTGTTGATGGAAGAATGATTGCTCCTCAGTCCACTAACTCAGTGTCATTGTCCTTTCTATACAGGTGGAGGCAGATGATGTGCTCACCAAAGAGGAACAGATCGGCCTGCTGTTCAAAGCCAAACGCAAGTGTGAGGTGGCCATCAGTAACAAACACAAGCCTGGTGGTGAGTAAAAAAAAATAATCTCAGAGAAAAGTTCTGTAAACCTGACGTGTCAACCTACCTGACAGTGTTGTTTGGTTTTTTTCATTGACATGGAAACAGTCCTGTCACATTGGTAATGGATAAATGACATCTGTTGCTCCCTGCATAGTTAATCTGTTGGTTCACTGCCTGCCCTGTTTACCATGCACACATCTAGTTCTGTCACATTGGCACCTGAGGACACACCAGGAGCATAAGCATTATTTTGTCCACTAGGTTGTCCAAGCAGAAAAATAACTCTGTTTGAACTGACAACATCACTATAACAGTGTTGACACAGAGCAGAGGAAGCAGTGGATTTAGAGGCTGAGATGTACAGATTATTGAGTGGGTTAGAACTAATATGCATCAGACATGGAAACAGGACAGGGTTTCTGTAGGAATAATAACTCGGCACTGACAGAAAACCAGAAAATGTAAATGTATTTTTAGAGCCTGTCACAAGATGAATTCTCATGTGGAGAAAATGGTTTCCTTCCTTTGTCACCATTGAATCAAATTATTCCAATTAGTGTGACTACTGCTGGCATTGATCCAATATCAGATTGTACCTTTAATATGAGGCATTCATACTGGACAATTACAGATACCATGGCAGTACTGTAGTTTGAAATTAAGAGGGGAAAATGTATTATATTTCTTCCTGTATGGTTAGGAGGTTACGATGGTCAGGGGGCTTTCTGAGAGAATCCGGTCCATATTTGTTTACTTGTGGTTGTGTGAAGAGTGTCACGTTCAGCCAGACCCCAGAATCCCCCTGTCTCTGTGGTCACTGTCGTTTTTTCTGTTTGATTACTCTAAAGAGGTTTTGGATTCCATATCCAGCCAGTCATATTATTTTCTCTTTAACCCTGGTTCATTGTGGTCTTCTTGTGTTCTTTCTGTGTTGGGTTCTCAGGCTTTCTAAACAAAACGTATCTGTAAATGAAACACACCATTACACATCTTTATTTTAAAACTAAGAAATATAGAAGGTATTGTTTATAGATTACCAGTAGTTAGATTATCTCTCACAACATTCCCCAAATGTGCACAGATTCTGCAAATGTTCACAGTTTCAGGTTTAACTTGAAATAGAACTTAAAATAACACATTTTATGGTCATCTATCATCAACAGTCATCAAAAGACCTGTTTGAAGGTGATGGTTTCAGTGTTTAAACGGGAAAGGGTAAAGCCTGCATGCGTTTCCTCAAAGTGTATTAATCAGAATGATCCTAGACACTTGACACTAAGCAGGGCACTTAGAGCAACATTCAAGCATTCAAAGATGAGAGTCTCCTTGCCTCCTCTGACCACCATCACCCCTAATGCAGCCTGACATTTGTTGCGTGTCACTGTTGTATGAGGCGTTACTCTTTTTCCAGGTATCTGGGGTACATTTCCAGGGTAAATTTCACCCTTCAACAGTTTCCATAGACTAGAAAGTTATCCTTAATCATTTGAGTATTTTAAATGAAATGTGTCTTGAGTAGGCATAATACTTTATAAACATGGAGAATACACATCTTACCTCCAGTTTCGGTCGGTTTCTTGTTAAATGAGTCAATTTGTGAAATGAACAGTAATGCAAATCACAAATTGAAATAATTATCTTTAAAGTGGTGGTAAGCTTTCAATTATTCCAAAAGACAATTAAACCGTTTTAATGATTCTCTTGATCGGTGGAGGTTGCTGAGGGGAGGATGGCTGATAATAATGGCTGGAACGGAGCGAATGAAATTGCATCAAACCATGTGTTTAATGTATTTGATACCATTCCATTCATTCCGCCATTACCACAAGCCTGTCCTCCCCAATTAATGTGCCACCAACCTCCTGTGCGCTTAATGGTTACTTTTGCTGATATGTTCACATATGCAGTATTTTACTTTTTATCACCTGAGAGAATACAACTATTACCTTCAGTTTGGGTCCGTGTATATTTAAATTAGTCAATTTGTGTAATGAATAGAAAATGGGGGCCATTTAACAATTTATTCAAAGACCAATTAAAACTCATGTTTCAATGATTTATCTTGATGCTCTACCTTTGTTAATATGTTCTCAGGTACATTTATGTTACTTTTTAAATATACTTCTTTAGAGATCTATTTTGGATATGGTTTCTATACAAAGCTGTTGCTGGAGGCACAGTTTTCGGGCGGACGGTGGGTGCGTCAGAGATGACCACTACTTGACCTGTATACCTGATGACTCTGTCAAAGAGTAGTAGACTCGACATAGCCTTTATCTGGTGGCTGTATCCCGACCCCTTTTGGAAGGTTGCACACGTCTTTCCAATCATAGATCAGCTGAAGCTGAAATTAGGGTAAACATGTAACCTACCTCTCACAGAGAGAGAAAAGGCTCTGGTGTGCTTTCTGCCTGAAAAAGCATTCAAGACCTAATTTTGTGCGCTTGAGTTTTTTTAAACTTTATTTCACTCTTGTGCACATCTGTTTATCATCTGTTTATTGTTATTTATTTTATGTCAATATTCAATCAACATGTTTTATTTAGATGCCTATTACAAAGTCAGATAATTGATTATGGTAGAATATATTATATTAGGTGGCAAAGACTTCCACATCATTATGTTCTGGAATGTTACAGCATAGTCTATGTTGTAGTGAGTCTAATGATGACCCTGTAGAAATGATGGTGGAAACTGTTGCTGTTAACTGGCAATTATATTTTATGTATAGTTTCTATTTTTGTAATGTTGACGACATTGGCCAAGAAAATGGTTCCATTTTTTAAATAGGCTACTGCTAATTTTGGCCTCCTCTATTGTGGAAAAACCAAACTCAAAGAATAGCAACCGAATGCAATTGAGGACTTTTCTTCCCAGATTTGTATTGCCCAAATGGTGTGCGACCACCCTTGGTGTTCTGTGCCACTGTAAACTCTTGGTTAGCCTAACTATTATTACTGTGGAGTGGATACTTTTTCAAATTGTTTGCACTGTGTGGTGGTAAAATTTGCAAATAGTAATGAATTGATCCTGCTATTCTAGCTATGTTGGAAGTGGTGGCTGGTAGGGTGGTGGCCCAGCCTCAGCCCAAGGAGAGGCTCTTGCTTAGTGTTACAGTGTTTCACTGTGAAGCCCATCTATTTGTTATTATTTCTAATTTGTGCCTTAAATACTAGAGTTCTCCATTACTTCCTTGACACAACGTTTTCATTGAGGGAGACACTGAGGTTTGCCTGGTTAGGACAGTAGAGGGATGTGGGTTCAAGGCCCTAGACCTTGCAGTGCGTAAATAGCTCAGCATTCAAACCTGTGGTCTCAGTGTAAAATAACATCAGCAATCATCATAACAGTATGCACATATCAAAACTCTACTGCGATATATGTTTTGACATCTGCAAGGCCTGAAACAAATGATTGCAGGGAAAATAAAACATTATTTATAACCTCTAATAGATCACCAATACCGAAGTCCCCCATAGTCATGTTTATATTTAAATCATGGTCATGGAATTTATAGGAAATTATATATGTGTGTTCTGTGTTTAATTTGAGCCTGTTGGTAGGTGGTCCAATGAGTATTAAAAGTACAGCCAAAAAAACTAAAACCTAAGACGGATTTCATTCTCACTTCACTCCCAGGACAGCTTCTTAGGCTACTTTTTCAACCCCGTCATCTCTCGCAGTCCAAAATCAGTTGAATACATACAAAGTCTACGCTGTAATTATGAGAGCCGAGTGACAGGCCATTTTGAAGGCACATAAAAAGCATGTTGTCATAGCCTCTGATGTTTCTTTGTAACTTTGATTACAGGAATGAGACAATAATAGATGTAAAGCAAAGAGAAAACAGTTTTAGTTTTATCCTCAACTAGTTATTAGTGGTGAGTGTGGGGCAGATGTTTTCAATAATATAAAATAAAAGCGTAGCCAGAAACCGGCGTAGCCAGAAACCGGCGTCTGCCAGGGATCTGTGGGGAGAGGGGACTACACTCCCACTATCGCAGGGCTAGGGTTAATAATCATTTTGTTCTAAAATGCTACTGCTGCCCGTATTGTATTAATGAACGTGAGGTTGCTGATCCCAGAAAAAAGTACGGCTTCTGCCTTCGACTCTCAACAATTCATTGGGAGTTGAAGGCATTTTCGCAAACTTGTACAAATAGCAACTTCACCGCACAGTACACACACTCAGGGGGCGAGGAAGAAACATTTTACAAGAGGGTGGAAATGAGAGCGGTTAGCAGCACAACATTTCTGCTTGACTCTGCTCTTCCACTGTGGTAGACTAGACTCAGTCTTCAGTGGTGCACCATAGTATATTTGTTTCTTCCCAGGGTGCCAGAACACTGCAGCCTTGTCACTGTTGTTTTCTTCATTTTGCATGGAATCTCCACAAATAAGATCCATATTAAAACCACTTTAAAAGAACAGATGCACTATAGCGTGTGAGTGCTGTGGTGAGATCATATGTTTTCAATAAATAGCCCATTTAGGCCTATGCCGCTCCTATGGATCATTAGAAACATGCCTGCTTAGACCTACTCAGTTATTTCATTATTAGAACATTGCAAGTGTCCATTTCAGGCAGAGGAAGCAACGTAGACTAACAAACATGTCTTTCTTGTGGGGTGGACATAAACAGCCTACCGTGGCTGATTTGATATATGGGATGGGATGGAAGCAGATTCATGCCACAACAAATTAAAATAAAAACATTGAAATTGATAAAAATGTGCTTGCAAATTTAGATATTTCAGAGGTGTTTTGGGAATTCAATGCTGGTTTGTTGAGCCTTAATTGTAAAGACCAAACATATCCAGCAGACAGAACACAACACTGCTCTGGATAACTGGTGTTGTGAACATTCAGCATCACAAAGGACATTAAATCTATTTCCTGCTTACCCAACAATTAACAGGCCACTAGGGCCGTCTTTCTCTACATGCTATTTATGATCATAACATTAGGTTAAAGTTAATTTGTGTATCGTCTTTAGAGGACAACACAATAAAAAAACAGCTACTCGCTGTTGCTCTGGAAAATAACAAAGAAGCCTACAGCTGTGTAATGTTGGAGCCAAGGCAGTGAACACTCAAACTCACTACGCTTAAATGTCACCATTGCTTTGTCTCTCCTCCTGCAGATGGTTACTGCTCGCCAGAGTGGGATGGCATTGTTTGTTGGCCTGAGGGGTCTCCTGGGAAGCTGGTGTCCACTGCCTGTCCAGAGTACATCTACGACTTCAACCATAAAGGTAACACTGGCCCTGGATAGCCTGCAGTTCAACAGTTCTCTTGCACAGAGCTCATTTTCAGTTTTAGGTCATGGTGCGCAATGCCCACATTAGTACAATAGCCAATAGGCCGCTGCTATAGTGGATCATCTTGTATCCACTTGAAACTGTAACACAGCATGGGGCATCTCTTTTCAATACATTTCTATAGCCACGGCAATGCAACAAGATAATATCTTTTTTTACTTAAGTACTTTCCGATGTGATTAAACAATGGCAATTTGCACCTATAGGTGAAAAGAAACATGTGCATTGTGTCATTCTGTTGTATCGTATGTGGGTTGTATTCTACAGGACTAGCCTATCGCCACTGGTGACAACAATGGGACTGGGCACTGACCAAACAACAACGAGATCATGCGGCCCAACTACTCAGAATGCAAAATTCTCTCACACTATTAACCAAAACAATAGAAGGGGAGAGTCATGTCCATCCCAGTATGCATTTCCCCACACCATTAGACAATGCCAACTTTGTCAGTGGCCATTGTGTGTCATTTCTGACAAAAATTGTGACATTTCAATCTATTCTATTCTTTGGGGGCCATTGTGGCATTAGCATACATAATCAATGTGGAGGTATTAGAATTTTAATTAAATTGGATGTGTGATTTGATTTCTACACTATACAGTAGGCTGCTTTTCATTTCTGTCATACATCAGATGGTCCTGGAGGGGGCTTTTTGGCCTAGCATACTGGAGCATCTACCTAGCTCACACTCTTTCATCATTCTCTAACCTTACATGTCTGGAACTTAATGAGCATCTACAGTGTTCATTGTCTGTCTGTCATCCCCATTGTTAGACTTGTTTACCCTCTGATCTTTCTGATGTTTCTACTCATTTGTAGGAAACCTAACAATAACAACATATATTTAGAAGATGAACATAAAAACCCTGTTTACCATTTAGATGAAGTGTCGCGAAATGGAACAAAAGACATGTCCCCTCAGAATTGTTTGACTGTTTTAAATGAAAACCAGACATGACTAATGACCTATTTCCTCCGTGGAGATTAGGCGAACAATGCAACAGTATGCAGTTAAGAGTGTTGTGCCAGTAACCCAAAGATTGCTGGTTTGAATCCCTGAGCTGACTAGGTGAAAAATCTGTGGATGTGCCCTTGAGCAAGGCACTTAGCCCTAATTGCTCCTCTAAGTCGCTCTGGATAAGAGCATCTGCTAAATGTAAATGATTATACGTGTGTTTGGGCCAAATAATCTATTGATAGATTAAGTGAAGCTTTACATTGTCATTTATTAGAAGCGACTTACAGGATACATTTTTCACCTAGTTAAACTTGTAGTGTATTTGATGTTTAAAAAGGCTTCTGAAGTTTGTAATTTCCACTTTGAAATTTCAGACTTGATTTTCCCTTATGAAAAATATATAAACCCCTACAAAAATGTCCATTAATTGTAATCCACATAATGTCACGTTGTATACTGATAGAAGACAGGCGCAGGAATGCGTAATAGTTTTTTGTATTACTCTACCCAACATAAGGTACGTCATGGAAAACGACGGGGACGAAGCCCAAAACAAACACGTATATATATATATATATATATATATATATATAACACAGGGATATAACCCAAACAAAAGAGCGAGGTGTAAACCTCTAAACATTACACGGGACGAGACCCGTAATAACAAGTGCACAATTACTCTGTATGTAAACTGTAATACAATGTACTCACGAGACCAACGGACATGGGACAATAATCGACAAGGACAATGGGGAACAGAGGGCACATATATACACATACTAATCAGGGGGAATGGAAACCAGGTGTGCGTAATGAGACAAGACAGTCCGGGGTCGGTGGTATTGAACCAGGTCAGTGACGCCTAGAAGGCCGGTGACGTAGACCTCCGGAGCTGGTGAATGGAATGAGCAGCAGTACCGGGGGGATCCTTGATTAAGCTGTTTTTTTTTTTTTCTTCGTTTCTTACCTTGCAACTACCATACATTCACGTGCTAGTCGGAACTAGGAAACTCAGAAATTTCCGACTAACTGGTTGAACACAAGTGTACAACTACACCCTAGTTAGCAGGTCTAAAATTTCAGAGTTTCCTAGTTCCAACTAGCACGTGAACGCGGCATGAGCTACCATACAGCGAGAGTTTGGACTTGTGTTTCGAAGGCAGAGGATGAGTCTGAGTCGTATTTCACTGTTAGTTTTACACAAATAATTGTACATTTTCAGTTATAAAACGGACAATTATTTATTTTGGATTAAAAGTACTGAAGATGGGTGTACAGTTGCTTCATGCGTTGTATGCGTGTGCTTACTGTCACCCTGATATTGGCTACTAGGTAGCTACTTCCCCCGCCGGACAGTAGTGCTTGTCAAGCGGGAGCGAAAGGCGCTGTGTCTCGGTGTTGTTGCCGTTCATGCCCTCCCCATTGAGTAGTAGACTGTATATGTATCAAGGTGATACCTATATGGTTATTCGTGTTAGTTATTTATTGTGTAGGCTGCTATCCTACTTGAAATAAAATGATGGGAGGTGAATCAATTGCCACGTTAGCTACCGCCGGCGACACGACCGTGATACCCATTTGACAATAACGAAATCTGAAAATACTCTGGACATATTCAATAACATTATAAGAATATTCATGGGATTGTGGGATAGGTGCAACATGACAAAGAAATGACAAGGGATTGAGTGAGAGGTCTAACTGGTGTGCACAGTTCCTAAGTAATTTCAATGCAATTTTATGACTCAAAGAACAGTCTTAATTTATTAGGTGCTTTTTTTTAGCTCTCCTAACTATTTCCTTGAGGAACTGAAGCAAGCACACTTTTGTTTGGAACATAGCCCCTGCATTCCTACCAATTACTGTTGTTGTTCACGCAATCCAAAATAAATCCATATAAATCGCAATCTGGGTCAGGTGGGCATCATTTGAAATTGTACAGGCTCATTCTGTTCAGAACAACCCAGGGTATAATGCCATGTCATCCTTGGAACTGCACATCAAACATAGTGATCAGAAACGTTGATACTGTAAAACATTCGTTTTATCATATGGAAATGTGTCATGCACATTTGGACACATGGGTGTGTGGTTTGCTTGTATGACATAAAAGCAGTATTTATTATAATGTTCAATGTCTCATATTTCAGAACACATCAAATGTTCTTAATTTACATCATTCCTCTCACTCAGACAACAAAACATTTTTAAAAAATTGCCCAATTAGCAGGAGGGATGGGAACATCTTCTGCATGATGCTAACAATTGGAACACTGTTTGAATCCTATACAGCTCTGTATAGTGGAGACCCTGAGCTCTAACACACACTGAGTTTACAAAATATTAGGAACACCTGCTCTTTCCATGACATAGACTGTCCAGGTCAAAGCTATGATCCGTTATTGGTGTCACCTGTTAAATCCACTTCAATCAGTGTAGATGAAGGGGATGAGACTCATTAAATAAGGATTTTTAAGGCTTGAGACAATTGAGGCATGGATTGTGTATGTATGCCATTCAAGAGAGTGAATGGGCAAGACAAAATATGTAAGTGCCTTTGAACAGGGTATGGTAGTAGGTGTCAGGCGCACCAGTTTGAGTGTGTCAAGAACTGCAACACTGCTGAAACGCTCAACAGTTTCCCGTGTGTACCAAGAATGGTCCACCACCCAAAGGACTGTGGGAAACATTGGAGTCAACATGGGCCAGCATCCCTGTGGAATGCTTTCGACACCTTGTAGAGTCCATGCCCCGACGAACTGAGGCTGTTCTGAGGGCAAAAGGGGGTGCAACTTAATATTAGGAAGGTGTTCCTAATGTTTATACACTCAGTGTATTTAAAAAAAAAATATATTACTAACAGCAACAGATTAAACAAAATTTTGCCAAAGGATCCGTGGAATAAGTTTAGAGGGTGTAATACAATACATTGTAATATTATTAATGTATCATTTCTGTTCTTAACCCTGGGTAACATGGGCCTAGTAGGCTCACAGGGATATTGGTATCCAGAGTACTCCACCAATTATATAATTTTCAACTCAATACTCAATACATTCCTCAGAAATGTTTTTGGGAACATAAATGCACTGTAATTTAAGCTTTAAAACTGCAAAGTGTTCTCTCTGCCTCATGGCAAAATGTGTAGAATTGCATGATATTAGCTTTAAAGCTACAACAACAAAACATTTCTCTGCCCCATGACAAAATGTGTAGAATTGCAGGAAATTAGCTTGAAAACTGCTAAATGTTCTCTCCAATGCCAAGAGGCGGGCTTTTAAAATGTTCCTTCCCAGGGCCCGAGACTTGGTTCGTACTGCCATGCACTGCCAAAGTCTTTGTATGCTATTTTTATCTCACTCAAGTTGTGTTCTGATTATGAGGGGGTCCCTGATGAATTTGCTATCACAAAGGGGTCCCCGGACCCAAAAAGTTTTGGGAACCCCTGATGTATAACATGTTAATGTACAGCCACTGCTTTCCAATTTAGCCGCTTATCAGTGACCAAATCTGCCATTTTCATACCGAATAGGGGCTGTGAGTGTAAAGGGCTACTGAATGGAATATGATGGAATGAATGGAATTGGAATGCCCTCTGTGATAACAACAGCATAAAGCAAAGGAAATAGATATCAGTATCAGTAATCTTACTATGATTAAAGTTGCATTGAAGTGTTGAAAAAATATATTTCCACATGTTGAATTTTTCCCTCGAAATCCTGGCTACAGCACTTTGTATTCTTTTGGGAGAGAGGTGCCGGTCATGTACCCTTTATTCTGATAATCCAATCCAGCTCCAATCCATTTAAGTCAGGGGAAGAGGCCTACAGGAATCATATCAGATTGTAAGAAGCGGTTTAATGGATGTAAAGCTAGGGTGACAGGTAGCCTAGCGATTAAGTGCGTTGGGCCAGTAACTGAAAAGTTGCTGGTTTGAATCCCTGACTTTTTAAACCTCAAATACACTACAAGTTTAACATGTCCTGCATTGCAGGAAAGTTCTACTGCAACAGGGTGATCAAATGAAGATCCTAGGTTGGATAGTGACGAGATCTGCTCAGCTGACAAGGACAGGGCCAGAGAGCATAGGGACAGTGTACCATCAGATAAAACAAAGAGCGTGCATTCAGCCTTTGCGATTTTTACTGTCCATCGTTTTTCTTTCCCAATAGGATCTGTTTTCTCTTCAGTGCTGCTCAATGCAGATGTTTTGCCTGTTAACCCCAACATTCAGTTTGGTTTAACCAGGTTAGCTGCTTTTGGGCTCACTTCCATAATAACGTGCAATATTAAACAACATTTCTCTGGTCTCTCCCCACATGTGCATTCTTCTCTCCTTTTAAATATAGCTCTCAACATTAAGGTTTTGGGTGACTGAGATTGTTGGTATCCATCCATCCACATTTTGAGGAGGCCCCCTAATTTTCCTCCTTTGTCGACTTTGAATGTTTATGCCGATGGTCTCCCAGTCCCAGGATTCATAGCAGCAGCAACGAAACCCTTCAGCCGCGCACCACAACTTAGGAACCCTTGGGTTTGGCGCTGGGTCTCCATCCCTAAATGATAACAGCAGTGGAGGAAGCTCTGGTTACAGCAGGCCCCAGAGAGCCCCTCCACTAGGCTGTGTTGATCCAGGGACCACGGGTAGCTAGCTAGAGGCCAGACCTGGATTCAAAAAGTATTTGTTTTCTTGCAAATACTTTGAGGGTTGATTGAGCCTACCTGGAGAGGCAGATGGGCAAAGTTTATTATTTTGGAACTATTCTGTTGGTTTCATTACGCCAGGCAAGCTCAATCAAGTGCAGCTAAATTATTTGAAAGAAAACAAATCCTATTTGAACCCAGGTGTGCTAGCTTCTCGCCTCTCCAGCAGTATGTCCTCTGGCTGCCTGCTCTGTGCTATAATCTCCTGCTGGAAGCCCCAGCATGCTCCGCACCCCACCCAGGCTTTTGTCAGCGCGGCACATCTCTCAAGCCAAATGTTCTGTTTATTAGAAACCTCTGGTCGCAGGCGACACCTCCATCTCAGTCATTCTCTTGGTGGGCAGCCTTATTGCCTGGTGGGCTTTAGTCGTCTGGTGGGCAGCTCACTGTCAGAAGCAATGCACCACATTTAATTCAGAAACTAATTAGAGGCCTGGAACGGTCGCACGCCATGGCATGACCTTTGACCTTGGAATGGTTGCACGCATTGACATCAGCTTCTCTGACCTTTTGTATGCATACTGTTTTGTTTTTGGTGCATAGTAGTTTTCTATGTTGCAATGTGTAGCCTGCAACTGTATTGGTATTTGGTATTTATTAGGATCCCCATTAGCCGCTGCAAAACTGGGTAGTTCGAGCCCTGAATGTGATTGCCTGACAGCCGTGGTATATCAGACCGTATACCACAGGTATGACAAAATAATTATTTTTACTGCTCTAATTACGTTGGTAAACAGTTTATAATAGCAATAAGGCACCTCGGGGGTTTGTGGTATATTGGCCATGTACCACACCTCCTCATGCCTTATTGCTTAAATCTAGCACACCAGGCACATACTAATTATGGATTTATCATACATCTATCACTTCTATCACTTCCTCACCAAGCTACAGAAAGTAGGCTGACACCTCTGAGTAATCAAATCAAATCAAATGTTATTTGTCACATAGACGTGTTTAGCAGATGTTATAGCGGGTGTAGCGAAATAATAATATCTAACAATTTCAAAACATATACCTAATACACACAAACTAGTAAGGAATGGAATTTAAGAAAATATACATATATGGACAAGCAATGACAGAGCGGCATGGACTAAGATACAGTAGAATATTATAGAATAGAATCCAGTAAATACATAGGAGATGAGTAGTGCAAGATATGTAAACATTATTAAAGTGACTGTAAACATGATTAAAGTGACTAGTGTTCCATTTCTTAAAGTGGCCAGTGATTTCAATAGGCAGCAGCAGCCTCTAATGTGCTAATGATGGCTATCTGATGGCCTTGAGATAGAAGCTGTTTTTCATTTTCTCGGTCCCAGCTTTGAAGCACCTGTACTGACCTCGCCTTCTGGATGATATCGTGGTGAACAGGCAGTGGCTCGGGTGGTTGATGTCCTTGATGATCTTTTTGGCCTTCCTGTGACATCGGGTGCTGTATGTGTCTTGGAGGGCGGGTAGTTTGCCCCCGATAATGCGTTCGGCAGACCGCACCACCCTCTGGAGAGCCCTGCGTTTTAATAAATACAAATAATATGTCATTTAGCAGACGCTCTTATCCAAAGCGACTTACAGTCATGCGTGCATACATTTTTGTGTATGGGTGGTCCCGGGGATCGAACCCACTACCTTGGCGTTACAAGCGCCATGCTCTACCAGCTGAGCTACAAAGGACCACATTTTCCTGGCACCACACTCCCAGAGCCCTCACCTCCTCCCTGTAGGCGGTCTCGTCATTGTTGGTAATCAAGCCTACTACGGTTGTGTCGTCTGCAAACTTGATGATTGAGTTGGAGGCGTGCTTTGCCACACAGTCATGGGTGAACAGGGAGTACAGGAGGGGGCTGAGCACGCACCCTTGTGGGGCCCCAGTGTTGAGGATCAGCGAAGTGGAGATGTTGTTTCCTACCTTCACCACCTGGTAGTACACAGTACATGATATGACTAACAACATTTCTCCTTCATATGGCCTTGTCTCTCTTGTTCCAACAGGAAGTGTTTGACTGACTGTACCTCATTTACACAGTTGGGTCCTCCATCTCTCTAATGTTTCTCCTTCATATGTCCTTGTCTCTCTTGTCCCAACAGGAGGTGTTTGACCGTCTGTACCTCATCTATACAGTGGGATACTCCATCTCTCTGGGATCACTTATGGTGGCTGTGGTCATCCTAGCTTATTTCCGGTGAGTGGTCTACTTGTTGCCATTGGGAAAATTCCTTTCTCAGTCAATATTTTATCTTCGACCAAATCCCACCTGGGCTTGAGGGCTGGGTGGATTAACGGTCCTGGTGGGACAGAGATTAGTGTTAGTGTCACAGTAATGATATTGGTACCTTCCATTAAAATCGGGACAACTGTGGTTTAATATTTGATAGGGTGCTGCTGAGCATACATATTTAAACAATGCAGTTGGGAAATAGCAAAAGTACTGTGAATATGAGACAACAAAGAGTAATGAAAAATGAAGAAAAATGTTGTCAAATATGATTTTGATGGCAGTGAGTGACTTTCTTAATGGGAAAAACAGTCAATAGCCCTGGTGGTATCGTGGTACTGCCCTAGCCTGTTTTGTATGGTGAAACAAATAAACAAAGTGTGCAAAATGTGTATGTATAATGTTTTACCTTTGCCTTTTCCATGAGCATTTGACTTTCAAAAGGATTATAGATGGCTGCCTTTGAGGTTGTTGCCTTGGGGCCAGTGTGTGATTGTGATACGTGCCTCATCTTTCTGACATTTATATTCTTAGTTATTTTCATACTTATTGATCTCAGGCCATAGAGATCCATAGGAAAGCTGTGGTTAGTGTTTGTTGTTATTCTGTCTATTTAGTGGGATGTTTATATGAAGATAACGTTAATATATTGGTGTGCAGTTTCAGCCTCATCAAAATACTGTCATCTACGGGCTGAAACCTTTAAGGCAGGCTGAAAGGGCAATAGATTGACAAATTAATTCTGACAGTCAATTTTATATGTAGTGAATTGACTGGTTGGATTTTCTTGAGAGAGTTATCTAGTTTTTATCATTGCCTTAGAAAAACATATGACTCATATTCAACAGCATAAATGCTAATTCTTGAATTCAATTAACATTTTACAGTGAATCAGGTCCAGGAATTTTGTGTAAAGTCGTGTTTACAAACGTTCCGCTCAACGTGACTTAGGGACTAACCCAATGTTTTAAGAGAGAAAGACCCTAAACTGGCACCAGGAAATCTACGGGACAAATTAGTTTAATAAGGCGTCTCAGGGGTCCCCGGGGGCCTGGGCTGACGTGTTCAGGAGCACTCCAGCCACGGCTCCCTCTTCCATTTAACATGTCAGGCTTTTAAAACCCTTGGACACGAGAGAGGCAGGTTCATAAATGTTTTCTGGGGAGAGACCGAGTGATACATACTGCACATTAGAAGTAGTGTTCCTCCTCTTCCACCCAATGACCTGGGGGACTGTTCACTTCACAGGAGGTTGGTAGCACCTTAATTGGGGAGCATGTGCTCTTGGTAATGGCTGGAGCGGAATCAGTGGAATGGTATCAAATACATCAAACACATGGGTTCCATGTGTTTGATGCCATTCCATTCGCTCCGTTCCAGCCATTATTATCAGCCGTCCTCCTCTCAGCAGCCTCCACTGGTTCACATACAATATGTGTTTCCCTCACAACTTTACAAATCAATATTCCCCAAAGGAGAGCTTGAGCAATAGCCAGTTTACTAATGGGTTTGACTGCAGAGGTTAGTCACAAGCAAATAATGAGTGAATAATGATTCATGAGTTTTCTGCTGTCACTTATTAAATAGCTCCCTATGATTTAAAGATGTTGACAAGGGATATTTTGAGGATACTGTGACAGATAAACTTGGTTGTCTGGGAGGAAATTCACATGCTCTTTGATCTGCTCAACACGTTAGGGGTTGATGTTAACTTTTTTAGCCACCTGTCCTTCGGACAGGTAGGACAGATTTTTTACTTGTCCAAAAGCTCAAGTCACTTGTACCCCAAAAATGTATGGTCTGTAACCCCAAGGCCAAAAAGGTGACTGAACATTGTGTTTTTGATGCAAGAAACCACTTCACAAAATACAGTACACCGCATTCTTAAGACTAAATAGCCTTGGTTTCTCAAATGACTGCCTCGCCTGGTTCACCAACTACTTCTCAGATAGAGTTCAATGTGTCAAATCAGAGGGCCTGTTGTCTGGAGCTATGGCAGTCTATATGGGGGTGCCACAGGGTTCAATTATTGGGCCAACTCTTTTCTCTGTGTATATCAATGATGTCACTCTTGCTTCTGGTAACTCTCAGATCCACCTCTACGCAGACGACACCATTTTGTATACATCTGGCCCTTCATTGGACACTGTGTTAACAAACCTCCAAACGAGCTTCAATGCCATACAACACTCCTTCCGTAGCCCCCAACTGCTCTTAAACACTAGTAAAACTAAATGCATGCTCTTCAATCGAACGCTGCTGGCACCCGCCCACCCGACTAGAATCACTACTCTCGACGGATCTGACCTAGAGTATGTGGACAACTACAAATACCTAGGTGTCTGGTTAGACTGTAAACTCTCCTTCCAGACTCACATTAAGCATCTCCAATCCAAAGTTAAATCTAGAATCGGCTTCCTATTTTGCAACAAAGCCTCCTTCACTCATGCTGCCAAACATGCCCTCGTAAAACTGACTATCCTACCGATCCTTGACTTCGGCGATGTCATTTACAAAATAGCCTCCAACACTCTACTCAGCAAATTGGATGTAGTCTATCACAGTGCCATCCGTTTTGTCACCAAAGCCCCATATACTACCCACCACTGTGACCTGTACGCTCTTGTTGGCTGGTCCTCACTACATATTTGTCGCCAAACCCACTGGCTCCAGGCCATCTATAAATCACTGCTAGGCAAATCTCCGCCTTATTTTAGCTCATTGGTCACCATAGCAACACCCACCCGTAGTATGCGCTCCAGCAGGTATATCTCACTGGTCATCCCCAAAGCCAACACCTCCTTTGGCCGCCATTCCTTCCAGTTCTCTGCTGCCAATGACTGGAACGAACTGCAAAAATCTCTGAAGCTGGAGACTCTTATCTCCCTCACTAACTTTAAGCATCAGTTGTCAGAGCACCTTACCGATCACTGCACCTGTACACAGCCCTTCTGAAATTAGCCCACTCAACTACTTCATCCCCATATTGTTATTTATTTTGCTCATTTGCACCCCAGTATCTCTATTTGCACATCATCTCTTGCACATCTATCATTCCAGTGTTAATACTAATTGTAATTATTTTGCACTATGGCCTATTTATTGCCTTACCTCCATAACTTGCTACATTTGCACACACTGTATATATATTTTCTGTGGTATTTTTGACTTTATGTTTTGTTTTACCCCATATGTAACTCTGTGTTGTTGTTTTTATCGCACTGCTTTGCTTTATCTTGGCCAGGTCGCAGTTGTAAATGAGAACTTGTTCTCATCTGGCTTACCTGGTTAAATAAAGGTGAAATAAACATTCATTATGATCACTGGTGTTGACAATGGAAGGCTGCTGGTCTCTGATCCCATGTATTATATCTCCTGCCGTTGTGGCCTTTAGCAAGGCACTTAACCCCCGCACAAAGTATAACACTGCACTGATAGGCTACTGTATAAAACACATGTGGACCCTCAACCGTCCATCTGGAGAGCTACTGGCTGTGCAAGATCTTGACCCAACCCTGCTCAAACACACCAGTCATCGTAGTCATCTTATCAAGGTCCTGTTGAGCAGCTGATTTTTTACAATGTGGGGTGTTCGAGCAGGGCTGGAGCAAAAGCATGCAGACCCAGTAGCTCTCCTGCTCTCCTGGAGGATGGTTGGCCACCCTGCAACATTACAATTACCACCAAATACTTTTTATGTCTTTATAAAATAATTCCCTCACTCAATGAACCAGGGATCAAATGACTAAGGTGGATGAGGTAGCTAGCAAATCAATATTTGTGCTTTTCAATCCCCTAAATCTCAAGAATGTGTTATAGTCAGCGAGGAATTCAGCTCGCTCTAATTATGATGAGTACTCTTCTGAAGAATGTGAAAACACACATACTCATATCACACACACATAGTGTACACACACACACTCACTGAAAAACCCTCACCCCTCCACACACTTACCACCTTGATAAGAGTTCAACATGGGTTCCTAGTGTAGTAACGGCTTAGTAGCAACAGATTTATGTCTTTTTTCAATGATTGTCTTTGGTTTGAGGAAGCTAACAGTATGACCTACTATGACCCCAACATGATTATTGCATATCACGGTGCAGATTATATTTATATGATCTTTCTCTCCTCCTCTCCTCTCTTCCAGGCGGTTGCATTGTACCAGGAACTACATCCACATGCATCTGTTTGTGTCCTTCATGCTGCGAGGCATCAGCATCTTCATAAAGGACGTGGTGCTGTACTCTGGCTCTGCCCTAGAGGACATGGAGAGAGTCAGTGTGGAAGATCTCAAGTCCATCACTGAGGCTCCTCCAGCTAACAAAACCCAGTTTGTAAGTACCAAACCTTGTCCCCAGACTATAGGAAGTTTGGTGCGCGAGAATAGTAAGTACAAGGCTAATGTAGTTAAGTGACTGACCAAAGGCACCTGTGAAATTCAGGAATACTTGTTGTTTACAAATTCTATAAATGTGTTATTGTGAAACGTCCATTGTAAATTGGTTGGATCATTGTAAAAGGCCTTCCTCTAAGGACATAGTGATCAGTGTAATCCAGGGACTATTGGATATGCCTTACTAAAGTCGTTCCAGCATTCAGTATTATGAGTCATCAGGCTTTTCATTATAATTGTGTTTTTTTCATTACTGTCTCTCGCAGCATTTCTAAATGAGAAAAAATGTCAATGCTACAGGGAAGACTTGCCACAAAGGATTTCCTATCTTACCTAATGATTATAAAACTGGAGAGAGAGAGAGGAGGAGAAAAGACTAAGAGGATAAGTCTCTCTTGGCTTGCGTGTATTATCCCTAGCTAGAGTGAGCATGCAAGGCTGAAGGAATCAGCTATATACTTCAAAGTACCCTGGTAGTCACTAGGATAAACAGAGGCATAGAGGTTGGCTTCCCTCGGGGCATACACAGGCTGAACCACCAGGGATTCCCTGTTGTTTACAGTTGATCAACATCTCCAGGTTGGAACAACACACAGTATTCATTAGGATTAGAATAAATATTTAATTGTACAAACCGTGATTGGAACCTAGAGGTTAAGGTTTCATCCTGGACAGGCTTGAATGTTGGTTTTCTCACTACAAAGTGATTGCACATTTGCCAATGTACACACTACCCTTAGAGTTTCTGTATGTTGTACCAGCCTAGCAGTAGAACTATATAACAGTGCGAAGCAAGAGTGGATTATAAGGATTCAAAATGGCTTCATGTCACTATAAGAAGAACCAAGGCATTCTGAATTGATTCTGTGATTGACAGGTCGTGACCTTGAGACTATAACGCCTCGATCACACCGACAGCGTCATTGCATTTTGGCACACCAGAAGTACATTCACTTCCAATGGAATGCTGCGTTTGCCTTGCAGTATTGCGTTGCAGAGGCCGTTGCAGTGAGTTGTGGTGGATTTATCAAACGTATGCGTCAAACTGTATGCGTAGACGGCTTGACAGAAATGGTAACAGAAGGTGAATGTTAAACTTCTGTTGCACACATATCCAGATGCTGCTGCATACCATTTTGCGCAATGATGCTGTAGGTTTGATCGCGGCGTAAGGTTCTATCTGTGCAAAGCATAGTTCTGAGATATTGAGCATCAAAGTTTTCACATCCCAGATCTCAGAACTGTTTTGTAGTGAATTCTTCTTTCGTTACCCATTAAGGTCCTCAGCTTAAAGGTACCTAAGGTGCAGAGTATCAAAATCCTGAGACGTGTAAATCCGTTTCTTTAGGGGGGTGCAATCGCAGATATAACATTATGGCTCTGAAATGTCAATCTGGGTTCAGCCATAAGGTTCTATCTGGCACTTCTGAATTAGACATGTTCAGTTTTTAAGAAGCTATTTGAATACATAAATGATAGAATAACACTATTTTATCAAGATAGAGTCAGAACACATCATCAAATACATTAAGAAATGTATTTTGATCATCAGACAAATTACTGTCATCACTGAACAACGATGTGACAACATCAGTTACTTTAACATTTCTCCCAGTATAGTTTTTTTTGCTTGCGTGCCATTGTTGCTGGCCAGACTAGCCTAGATCATACTTAGAGGGAGATGGCAAAGACATGCGTTCTGATTAGTCTGTATTTGTTCAGGCTTGTGATTGGATTGCAGATAGAACCTTATATCGCCAAGTTCAAATGGGTTCATGCAGATAGAACTCTATGGTTTTCATTTTTTTCACTTAAAATGTACTTTTTCAAAAGAAAATCTTCACAGACAGAATAACCATCTAAAGATCAATTATATGTGACTAACTCATTTTTGACAAAAATATCAGATAGAACCTTATAGTCCCAAGGTGTCGAGGTGTTGGAAAACATGAGTCATTAATCTACAAGTGCTTGTGACCATGAAATAGCCTGCTGTATTTCAGCATGCTTAGTAAGTTCAGTATATTTTATGTATTTGTCTGTGGTGTTTCCTTTAGATTGGCTGTAAGGTGGCAGTGACCCTGTTCCTGTATTTCCTGGCTACGAACTACTATTGGATCCTAGTAGAGGGTCTGTACCTCCACAGCCTCATCTTCATGACCTTCTTCTCAAACAGGAAGTACCTCTGGGGATTCACTCTGATTGGATGGGGTGAGTGATGTCACAGAAAACAAATTTTGTTTTACTGCAGATTCACTGCTATGAAGTCAAATAATAAGCTAAACTAACTATCCCAGACAGATTTATTAATCAATTCATTTCAAAAGCCATTCCAATGTCATAATGTTTTGTAGAAGGTTTAGAAGAAAGCTGATAATATTGTTAATTCTACAATTATCTACAATTCATTGGTTTCACACATACTGTGTGAATACTACTATAATCAGAACTCAAGAAGAGTTCAGAAAACTAGGCTGTACGGCTCCTGCATTGTACACACTGTGCGTATCTGTTATGTAAGCACAGCGCATACAATGTGGATGCTGTGTCACCCAATTACCTCGCTGCAAGAATCCGAAAAACTACATTATATTAGCAGTAAATTACAAGAGTAATTTTGACTTGAACCCACAATTATAATTGGAAGAAAATGACTGTATTTTGCATTAAATCATTGTTTGTGTGATTGCAGATAATTATACTTTGTTCTGCATGGGTCTCAGCTGTTTAGTTGTTTTGAGATCTTTGTTGATGTTTGTTGTTGTTGATTTACAGGGGTCCCAGCTATGTTTGTGACAGTGTGGGCGAGTGTGAGAGCCACCTTGGCAGACACAGAGTAAGTACTGCGTTAAAATCCCAATTCATCATCATGATGTTGGCTCTAAACACATTTTACTGTACATTTGCCAGAATCTTTCATGGGAATGTGAGACAGGACCTTAGAACATGTTCCAGAATCCTCTTACATTCTTAGAATGTTTAAGGGCGGAGTGTACATCATCAATTTCATAGAAACCTGCATGTGGTCCTCTGTAGCTCAATTGGTAGAGCATGGCACTTATAACGCCAGGGTAGTGGGTTCGATCCCTGGGACCACCCATACATAAAAATGTATGCACACATGACTGTAAGTTGCTTTGGATAAAAGTGTCTGCTAAATGGCATATTATTATTATTGCAGTATTTACACAGTAGTACCTCTCACAGGTAGATTCTGCCAGTTTTCAGGTTAAGAAATGTGTGTGCAGAGGCAGTAGTTTGTATACAAGGACCATGCGTAAACATTGCCATGGCTGGTTGGATAGAATTCCAGCCTAGGACTCAGAGCCTAGGAACAGACTGTAAGGGTTGCCAACTTCCCCATGTGTTGTTGCTACACTAGGATAAACCGAAACAGATTAGATCCTGAAAACGATTAGTTAAACAATTATACCTATCTGTATTAGTTTTTCATAAATGCCCTGTTTATCACTTGCAGGTGCTGGGACCTAAGTGCAGGCAATCTGAAGTGGATCGTACAAGTGCCCATTCTAACAGCAATAGTGGTAAGTAAACATGTCAATTGAAAATGTTAATTGGCGTAATGGCATTTAACGTTTTTGATTGACACGTTTACTTACCACAATTACTTACCACTATTACCACTATCTGCTTTTTGAGAGATTTGGCTTTGGTGTTCTACATTGTGTCATTTTCTGTTTTCAAAGGTGAATTTTATGCTGTTCCTGAATATAATACGAGTTCTGGCCACTAAACTTCGAGAGACAAATGCTGGCAGATGTGACACAAGACAGCAGTACAGGTAAGAAGCAATACTCTGACTGACTGCTCCTTCCCTGACTGCTTTATCATGACATTTGTATTGCTTATATACAGTTGTATTCTGTTTTATCTCCCGCATGCTGATAGAAATATAGAATCTTTATCACACCAAAACATGCCACCAGTCATGTCAGTGATGCATAGTATGTATGAAAATGAATGTCCATGATAATATCAAACTTAATCTCCTCATTACAATAACTGTCAGGCACAGTAAATCTAAAAATAAATGTTAAAAATATAATAATAATCACATTGATATCTGCACAGCACTGTAGATTAAAGGTACAGTAGATGATCTTTGTAGCTGGTAAAAAAATTAATATGAACAACAGGGCAAAATGCCAATAAGTGTACAAAACACGACAATCTATGTCTTTCCATGACATAGACTGACCAGGTGAATCCAGGTGAAAGATATGATTCCTTATTGATGTCACCTGTTAAATCCACTTCAATCAGTGTAGATCAATGGGGGGAGACAGGTTACAGAATGATGTTTAAGCCTTGAGACGATTGAGACATGGAATGTGTATTTGTACCATTCAGAGAGTGAATGGGCAAGACAAAATATTTAAGTGCCTTTGAACGGGGTATGCTGGTAGGTGCCAGGCGCACCGGTTTGAGTGTGTCAAGAACTGCGACGCTGCTTGGTTTTTCACGCTCAACAGTTTCCCGTGTGTACCAAGAATGGTTCACCACCAAAAAGGACATCCAGCCAACTTGACACAGCTGTGGGAAGCATTGGAGTCAACATGGGCCAGCATCCCTGTGGAACGCTTTCGACACCTTGTAGAGTCCATGCCCCGACAAATTGAGGCTTTTCTGAGGGCAAAGTGGGTGCAACTCAATATTAGGAAGGTGTTCTAATGTTTTGTACACTCAGTGTAGATTGTAATTAAAAATTAAAAATAATCTTATGAACCTCTGCTTGTATTTATTCAGGAAACTGTTGAAGTCTACCTTGGTCCTGATGCCACTGTTTGGCGTCCACTACATAGTGTTCATGGCCATGCCTTATACTGAGGTGACTGGAGTCCTTTGGCAGATACAGATGCACTACGAGATGCTCTTCAATTCATTCCAGGTACTGACTTATGTTGTACAGCATGGATGGATGGATGAATGAATGAATAAACAAACCAATGAATGAACGAATGAATGAACGCACGAAAGAATGAATTAATATACTACTGCATATGGGTTTAGTCACAGGCAGCCAGCAATGGATCCAAAATGATGGTCTACTACAGTACTTTTAAAAGATAAATCGGCCAAATCGGCGCAGTCAGATGGAACAGAGTAAATAGGCATTTAAACGTCTTAGATTTAGCCGGTGGCAACTTGTGGAATAGACACCGGCTGGAATGCGGTTTTAACCAATCAGCATTCAGGAATAGCCCCACCCGTTGTATAATATGGGGTACTGCATCTGCTCTAGTGGTGTGCTACACATAATTAGCTATTGATTAAACTGTGATGAGTAAGATTTTGAGAGAGCACAGCTCAGTGTTTTCAGAGTAAGCAGCTGGTGAAGAAGTCACTTCATATTGCATGGCATTCTTCCAGAGTATGAAAAATGTATGCACTCACTAACTGTAAGTCGCTCTGGATAAGAGCGCCTGCTAAATGACTAAAATGTAAAATGTTATGCTCAGGTCAACCTGTGAACTTTGAGGCTTACACAAAACTGTATTAATGTTTTTTATCCTTTTCAGGGATTCTTTGTCGCAATTATATATTGTTTCTGCAATGGGGAGGTAAGGACTACTTTGAACAACTGTTTAATATGTTTCTGTGAAAATGTCCGCAATGACTCATTATAGTATGTTATTTAAGACAAAATATGTAATCCTGATAGATAATATAATGTTCATGATTAATTGCAGTCACAGCATGCACACACCTGAGACTCAATTATTGTATGTCACAGTAGATTAGATCTATTTAGTGACAATCACATTTCTTTCCATCTTTAGGTCCAAGCGGAAATTAAGAAATCCTGGAGCAGGAGGACACTAGCACTGGACTTTAAACGTAAAGCCCGTAGTGGCAGTAACACGTATAGTTATGGACCTATGGTGTCTCACACCAGTGTAACCAACGTCACTGCCCGGGGACCCCTGGCCCTCCACCTCACCACGCGCCTTGGGGGCCCCGTCACCGTCAACGGGCACCGGAATCTCCCGGGGTACGTGAAGAATGGTTCCATCTCCGAGCACTCCATCCCTTCCTCGGGACAGGAGTTACACGTTCCTGAGGAGGAGCAGCCGTCCAGTACTGAGCCACCGCATTCTGTTGAGGAGGAGAAACCCTCGTCTGTAGTGGAGGAGGAGCGGGAGACCGTCATGTGACAATCATGTGACCTCTTGCGAGAGACGGTCATGTCATGTGACCTTCAGGCTGCCAATAGCGCCTCCACTGTGAGGACGATCTCTGTAGGAATGAGTCATGGGAAAGATCTCAATTACGTACTCCTGGCATCCTCTCTCCTCGTCTCCAGAGGGACCTCTGGCTTTCTCATCCAATGGGTTTTGAGAAGGAGACGAGGAGAGAGGACGCGAGAGGTATGCAATTGAAACATAGCACCATACAGACCAGTCAAGCCTCTCAGTTGATTTTATTTCACTGCCTTCAATGTGTTGCAGCAAGTACTTTATAATGGATGAATACCAACCATGGTCTGTGGATGAACAGTAGGCTAATGTGTCTGACTGAAACAGACAGCATTGATTGTCCACAGGTCCTGTGGCTGAAGGTGTCAACAGTATACTGTAGGTGCTCATTCTGGCAGGAGCATGTTAGCTTATGTTAGTGTAGCAGATGGCTAAGTTAGCATACAGCTCACTAGCTCACATCTGCTACATTAGGCACTCCTAGTGAAATGGGGAAATGCCTGGTTGCAGTTGATTCTGCCTGTGTGGTTGGGGAGATCTCACTGCATTTCAATTGTTTTGAAATATGGATGTAAATTCAGATAACCCAATCCACTTTGATGTAGCTAAAAGGGAATAAAACTCAGGTCCTCTAAACCCACCATTCTAGTGCATCAGTTTGAGCTAGTCTGTAGTTTCAGAGGTGTGCTGGCTTCTAGAGTTGATTTATATGGAGAAAGGCCCAATGGATAACTTTTCCCCATGAGTATCAACTTTTTGTACAGTTTTTATTTTTGCTATTTAAAAGAGACTATCCTAATATTCAACAGTGTAATGGCTATGGAAGGTTATGCTTTTTCCATGATGTGTTGATGATTACAGTACATTCTTCAATAATAATATTCTGTTTCACAATATATAAAGCCACAAAAGTAACCGAAACTTGGAGCCCATTGGAGTCAAAAACGTGAGTTTCCTGTGTTTTATATATACGTATTTCCACACTATGAGGTTGGAATAATACTGTAAAATTGTGAAAATTATGATAATGCCCTTTTAATGTAAGAGCTGTTTGAAAAGACCGACTGAAATTTCAGCCTGTTTTGGTTGGATGGAGTTTTGGCCTGCCTGGTGACATCACCAGGGGGTAAATTAGTTAATAGACCAATAAGAAAGAGCGTTCCAAACCACTCTGCCAATAATAGCTCGTTTTCAGTTTTCCCCTCCCCACTCAGACCACTCCCAGACAGTCCTAGCAACATTCTTGCTTGAGAAATTACTCTTTGCTAAGAAGCAATTTTGGTTTATTTTTGACCAATTTTAATTTAAAACAATCACAGTAAGGTACTTCATTGCTACCCAGAAATGATTTGATATTGAGATAAAAACGGACCTTCAGTTTTGGGAGCAATGGAGTGGGAGGGACAGCTCTAAGTGGACAAAAAAAGCGATTATATACTGTAATTGTAGAAAACGACTTTATTAACGTTTTAAAGGGAGGCACCCTCTCCAAAACTCAGGGTGCAGAAAACAGTAACAATTTTTTTTAAACGGAATGTTAATTAAATGAGGAATTCCAAGGGATTCTCAAATTCCACAGGAGAATTCCCAGGGAGACTTATAAAAAGACGGTATGAAGGAACACCAGAACTGAATAGCACACAACTGTTATGTTTTATATAGTCCAGTGTTATGCTGCTCTTTTTGTATATAGAGTATGTATGCATTTGCGTAGAAGTCACAATGTTTACAATTATAATAAAATCCATTCTAGTTGTGAGCTAAAATAGCATCAAAGGTCATGTAAATGTATTATAACTATAATATGATATTTGTACAGACTGTTGAAAATGTTAAGGGATGTTGAAAATGTAGAATATTTTATATTGTATTTAGTGTTAAAAACATAGAGACTGGATAATATACTGTAGGTGAGGGACAACATACTGTATGAGGATTCAGGACCATAGAGTTAAGATTTCAGTAGAATGCCTATCAAAGGTAATGACATAACATTAGACAGCTATTTACACTATACTCACATTTAATTCTGTGAATGTGGCAGTTGATTGACTTTGGGTTGATGGGAGTCAAGAACTCAATTGCACTTTGGCCCTACAGTTCCCTCCCCCACTACTGTATATCCACATGTATACACTTTGAAAAAACATGTCTAGTTACACTTTACATTTCGGTTCCATCACACAGCAGTTCGTTTCCCAGACAATGCTCACGGAGTGAAGTGAAGGGTTAAAATGATTTGTTTGTTTGTTAGTTTGTCACAGAAGCAGAATGTGTGTATTTTAGAGAGTGTCAAGTAGCCTGGTCCTATACGGTACAGTATGTGCTGTAGCCATCTCTTCTATCATTGTCATGCCTTACTGTATGTACTGTATGTTTGGCATGAAAATGAATGAACACATAGAACACAGAGAGGAGTTGGCTAAAGCACCAGGCTAAGTGTAAAGATGTCACAGTCCCAACACTTAATGTATGTTTCATTCCAATCCGTCCCAATAGTTCATATATGTTTTCAACCCTGTCCATCCCAATGTACGTTTCATTCCTAATCTCTGTGTGGTTTGCTATTCCTATTTATTGTCATGGTCTTATATAGTTAGGGCACATTATATTTTATACTGAAGAGTAGAGCTGAATATAAAGGCAGAGTTCATTTTCTGCCTCACAAAAATCTGTTGCGTGAAATAAACGTGATGTAAGCGTGATGTAAGGATAGTATTAGAGAAAGTGTTACCTAACGATGCCATCTAGGCCAACAAGGAAATGAAAAATACAGTAGAATATCCCCATTATCTTATACAGTGGTTATCTTAAACCAACCTACAGCCAACAAACATGCCACTGGCTAGTATATACGGTTGGTAGTATTATGTGTAGTAGGTACAGTGCCTTGCAAAAGTATTCATCCCCCTTGGCGTTTTTCCTATTTTGTTGCATTACAACCTGTAATTTAAATTGATTTTTATTTGAATTTCATGTAATGGACATACACAAAATAGTCCAAATTGGTGAAGTGAAATGAAAAAAATAACTTATTTCAAAAAATTCTAACAAATAAATAAGTGGTGCGTGCATATGTATTCACCCCCTTTGCTATGAAGCCCCTAAATAAGATCTGGTGCAACCAATTACCTTCAGAAGTCACATAATTAGTTAAATAAAGTCCACCTGTGTACAATCTAAGTGTCACATGATCTCAGTATATATACACCTGTTCTGAAAGGCACAAGAGTCTGCAACACCACTAAGCAAGGGGCACCACCAAGCAAGCGGCACTATGAAGACCAAGGAGCTCTCCAAACAGGTCAGGGACAAAGTTGTGGAGAAGTACAGATCAGGGTTGGGTTATAAAAAAAACATTTGAACATCCCACGGAGCACCATTAAATCCATTATAATAAATGGAAAGAATATGGCACCAAAACAAACCTGCCAAGAGAGGGCCGCCCACCAAAACTCACGGATCAGGCAAGGAGGGCATTAATCAGAGAGGCAACAAAGAGACCAAAGATAACACAAAAAAAAATTATGCACGCATGACTGTAAGTCGCTTTGGATAAAAGCGTCTGCTAAATGGCATATTATAACCCAGAAGGAGCTGCAAAGCTCCACAGCGGAGATTGGAGTATCTGTCCATAGGACCACTTTAAGCCGTACACTCCACAGAGCTGGGCTTTACGGAAGAGTGGCCAGAAAAAAGCCATTGCTTAAAGAAAAATATAAGCATACACGTTTGGCGTTCGCCAAAAGGCATGTGGGAGACTCCCCAAACATATGGAAGAAGGTACTCTGGTCAGATGAGACTCAAATTGAGCTTTTTGGCCATCAAGGAAAACGCTATGTCTGGCGCAAACCCAACACCTCTCATCACCCCGAGAACACCATCCCCACAGTGAAGCATGGTGGTGGCAGCATCATGCTGTGAGGATGTTTTTCATCGGCAGGGACTGGGAAACTGGTCAGAATTGAAGGAATGATGGATGGCGCTAAATACAGGGAAATTCTTGAGGGAAACCTGTTTCAGTCTTCCAGAGATTTGAGACTGGGACGGAGGTTCAGCTTCCAGCAGGACAATGACCCTAAGCATACTGCTAAAGCAACACTCGAGTGGTTTAAGGGGAAACATTTAAATGTCTTGGAATGGCCTAGTCAAAGCCCAGTCCTCAATCCAATTGAGAATCTGTGGTATGACTTAAAGATTGCTGTACACCAGCGGAACCCCATCCACCTTGAAGGAGCTGGAGCAGTTTTGCCTTGAAGAATGGGCAAAAATCCCAGTGGCTAGATGTGCCACGCTTATAGAGACATATAGGAGGGGGGGAGGGGGGGGGGGGGGGGGGGGGTTCTTCAAAGTGGTAGGCACTTCTTCAAAGTGGTAGGCATGTTGTGTAAATCAAATGATACAAACCCCCCAAAAATCCATTTTAATTCCAGGTTGTAAGGCAACAAAATAGGAAAAATGCCAGGGGGGTGAACACTTTCGCAAGCCACTGTATGCCCGTCTGGGATTTAACTGTCCATGTTTGATTCGGAAGGGGCAATGCTAGAGCCAGTGTTGATTAGGAAAACATAATTTTAACAAAATATGTATATTTGAGCACTTTAATACCCTATTCAATTTCCTATTGATTGTATCATGTAAATTGATTGTTTTTTAATTCAGTATGTAAACAGGCCAATACTTTACAGAGCTAATATTGTACGCTTTTTTTTATTATTATTACCTCTCATGGAAGTATATAAAATCACATGATATTTTCATAGTTTTTTTATTTATCATATATTGAAAATGTATCCGTCCTCAGAGAGATAGGAGTTGGTATTTTGTATTAATAGTATTTATGCCATGTGTGGAGAGGTTGTGACTGTTTGTGTTTGAAATAGGACACGCCATACCTGGTTGATTTCACTCAATGTCGGTTGAGTGAAGTCAATGTTGTAAATGTAAACGTGGGTTTAAAAGAAAAAAGTTTTCCAATCTAATGTTCATCATTGTATTGTGAATAAGACATTAAAATTTACAATTGTACTGTAACTGAAGTGTTAATTGAATTTGAAACATGACTGCAATCCCATAGTAATTCTGTTGTTGTTCTAAGAACTTACATACAGGTTGAATAAATTAAT